AATGAGCTTCTTTCTCATATTCAGACGGAGCAACAAACCCTCAGCAGTGCCACACAGACAACGAGGCTCCTTATTATTTCTCTGTCATTTCAGAAGATGTGGTTCACCTCCTACATGCTGATTCAGAGTATGTTGGTGTGTGTCGTGGAGGGACCCTGACATGAGTGGGATATTTCTCACTGTGCTTTAACAGTTAGTGCTGTAATATGTCAATGTTGGGTTTGTCTTTAGGTCTCTGTCATGGTGAGGGGGCATATCATTACAAAAAGTAAATAAAGAATTCAGTTGTCTTGATTTCTATGTGATCTGTATTGTGATATGTTCTGTAACTAATTTTACTTGGCTCTCTGTAGCATTATAGGATAACACCATTGTATATATATCTGTCAGTACAGCTTAAACTCACCCTCCTACTGCTGCTGCTTTTATAACTTTGGCTCCTGCTGTGCTAATCTCCCTTTTGACTCAGGATTTCAACCTTGAGCAGACATATTCATGTGATTATCCTAACACGACTAAAAGGGGAACTCCAGTATTTTCCAACCTGGAACTTATTTCCGCGTGCGTTTCTGTGTGCTTGACTGATGGGGGGAATAACTTCTAAAAATTGGTCCAGAGTTGAGGGAGAGCGAAACCAGCTAGAACTGAGTTTGCCAGCTGCTCTCCCTAATTCTAGTCTTAATTAACTAGAAATTAGAAATTAAAATTGAAACAAGAATTTTGACAAAATACATTTATTTTTCAATATTGCATTACGTCGAGTGGGTTTTAAATGGAGGCGCTGTTGTGTCTGAAAGATAGTTAGAGACGCCAAGACCTGCCTTACGTTGCTTCTGATTGGTTTATGTTGCGTGGTGCCTTCTGTGGTTGGTTAGATTTAGGCACCAAGGACTAATGGATTTGTCTGGAATTGGTTACCTCGGTCAATCAATCAGAGTTACTCTAACAAGCCAAGTTAATTATCATGAAAATAATAAACACAGAGTATTGAATGGGGAAAAATAAGCGTGAGAAATGTCAAGTGTGGCGTGTGGTGTGAGGATGGGTCTAATTGCGTGACTGTCACACTCAAAGCATGACGCTTGGCAGCTCTATGACAAGTGCCATAATTTTTTTTTATAATGTTAGTCAATTTAATATTTTTATTTTGTTGAAATAGAGGTTCCTGACAATGTCAAAAAGTCTTGATGCAAAAAAGCTAGTTTATGTGGTTCTTTTAAGCATTTTAAAACAAAAACGGGTCGATGCAGACCCTAGCACAGACCTTTTGTTTATGTATGTTGTATGATTGTTGTATATGTTTGTGTTATGTTTTGTGTATGGACCCCAGGAAGAATAGCCTGTCCTTGGCAAGTGCTAATGGGGATCCTTAATAAAGTAAAGTAAAGTAACACAGGAGGAGGGTATACTGTTAAAGAGTTTCCATGAGTTGATGAGCAAACGAAGAGAGAGAGAGAAGGCTGAGGCAGAAGAGGGCGAACTCACTGCTGCAAGGCCATAAAGCTTGGGAGACCGGTGGTGTTCCTGTGGGTGCTGTGATATCACACCCACAGAGGAGGACTGCAGAACCCCTGCGTAAAACCGATCATATGGTCAGCCCCCTCCGCATGGGTCTCAGATAAATTACACTCCTGTTACTGACGGTACCGTGTCTCATCCCCAGTAGCATGATATCAGGTCAGAAAAGAGCTAACAGGGAGTTTGACCAAAACTCCATCCCGCTGTTTTCAGGTGTGAATTATCAGTCCTACATTAATAATGCTGCATTACATCCACTCATCAGTGGAGCGTGGAGGCCTGCAGCAGATAATCCCTTATCTCTGGTTAAGTAACAAACAGTCATTAATGGTGAATTATTACACATCTCGAAGGGGTTATAAGCCCGCCGACTTCAAAGAGACGTTTTTTTGCTGAGAGATGCTTTGATGTAAGGCGTGCAGGAAGTCTTTTTACAGTACTGTGAGCCAGGAAGGATCGCTTTATATTTAGCTTTTGTGCACATTATCGAGTCGAAGCAGAAAGTCAAATTGAATGGATAACAGCATAGTTAGGAAACTGGTTTGTTACAGCTCACAATAGCATTAGCCAGTAATGCAGGATCATCTATTAAATCTTATATTTGTGCTTTATCCATGAAATCACAATTAGAGCTGGTCAGGGCTGCAGGTACGAACACATCATTCTGGACAGGTGGAGCTAACGTACATTTACAAGCTGGACGGTATGACTGAACACAGAGTACAAGTTAAATGTGTGAGGAATGTGAGACAAATCTATCTAGAGCTCCACACCGTGGGCTTCACCTCCTCCCACTCCACTTGTCAAAGCTGTAGCTGTGTGAACTCAGTCTCGGCGAAGACTTAGATATCTGATCTGAAGTCTTTGTAGCACAGGTCAGTTTTACTCCTTCTTTTTTTGGGAGTGTGAGTATTTCTGTATCAGTCGATAATCCTTTAAACTCTCCTCCTTTTTAAAATGAAGGAGAAATGAGTTCTGAGACGCTGAATCCAGAGAAAGTCGGAGCCCTTTTTTCCCTTTCAGTGAACTCCTCGTCCCCGCATCAACTGAAACAGACTTTTCTTATCTTTTTATAGAATTAAATAATGCTCGGGGGGCAAAACGTCCAACAATTTGTATTACCATACCTATAATATTAATTTTGTGCATTTATAGCCTGATTCCCACCCCTCCATTTTCTCCTAAACATCGTTCTGCTCGTCCAGTGAAACACTTGTGTCTTGATTCAAGGCTGAGAGCAGTAATGCCTGTAGGGCTGGGTGATATGGGAAAAAGTTTATCATGATATATTTTATTCATATCAGTCGATATATATCATGATATAATAAATGCAATTTAACAGTGCTTATTGGCAGTATGTCTTCTGCAATACAATAAGCTACTGCATCTGTGAGGTCTTTGTGTCCCTTCAACATTTTGTCTTAAAGGCGTTGCGCTAGAGAAAGTGGACTGAATGGTCGGCTGTTTCGGCTGCACAGGCGTCATGGGCTCCTCGCTCCGCTCAGGGTTTGTAACCTTTTGCAATGCACGTGCTCTGCCGTGTGGCACTGCTTCAGGTGGTAAAGAAGATTTGAGGTATTTCCCGACTTTCCAAGAACGTGTAGCTGCAGCCTGCTACTACGCAGTTGTTTGCTACCTGGTGCAGCTTGGTTCAGCACATAATGGGTTCAACACAAAGCGGACCCCGAGCAATTCCCCTCTTCTTTGGTTATTCGTATAGTCTACCAAAACATCTCAGAATGACGACTATCGAAAAGCAAATTGACCATATTTTATACATAGACTGTATATAATATGGACAACTTGGTTCCGCCTACCGCCAGTTTACGGATTTGAAGCCAAAAAGCTCTTGCTATTTCCGTGATTTTTCTTCATTTCCTGAAACCAGCATTGCGCAGTAGCGTGATGACGCTGTGATGACGCTCTGCTGAAACGATATATATATTGTTATTGTTTTATCGCCCAGCCCTAAATGACTGTATTTTTGATGCTGTGAATCCAACAGAAACCTGAAACTATAACATTTTAATGCAAACAAAGGCCAATCCAAGGGTTCAGAATAAAAAACGTCTTGAAATGATTGGAACATGTTTCCTTAGCAGCTAAAATGATGACTCAAACTTCTCAAATCTAGGAGATATATATTTTGATGGGTTTTTTTGCGTGGTGTTTTGCAGGTATAAAAATGAAGAGACCAGTCATCTTAGTTAATAATCAAATTCTTTCTTGTTTGGAGGATATCTTCTGTCTCCACTCTCTGAAGGCTGAGCTGTCTTCTTTTTCCCTGTTACTGTCCGCTGCAGTCTGCCTTAAGACAACATGAACTTTCACCGCATGTCAAAATAATCTTACAGCACCGACATTTTCTCATGTCACTTTAGCCCAGGGTCTCATGAGATCTGCGCTGCCTCAAGTGAGCGTGCAAAGAATGTTTTCCAGTTAACTCTCTGGCCGATAATCACTGGTCTGTAAAATGAAAGGTTGGAGGGCTTGAGTGGAGTCTGCTTGACATCTTTTGGAAATAAAATCTGCCCAAAACACAAGTGACCCACTTTACTAGAGATGACGAAGGCCTGCATGGACCTCAGCGGCGTGGTTACAGCTTGCCTTAACAGATACAGTATCAGCATGCGTACAATGTGCTGCGTCACTAAACTATTTCTCTGGGCGTCTCTGCACTCTGCCAGCTGCATCTCCCTGCTTTAATCTGGCGGTCACGTCTCCTAAAAATATCCTCCCTCTCTCCTTCCCTGAGTGTGTCTCTCTCTCAGTTCTCCGCTCTTATACAGAAGAAGTCCTTGTCTTCAGGGACCATGACAGCACAGGGGTGTTACCAAATAATTTTATTAAAAAAAGGGTGTAACCCGTCGACATAAGTAGGCCTACAGTGAAGTTCTGCCTGTTGTTAGAAGGTGAAACACAGTGGACGCAGTTGTTTGAGTTCACAAAAGTGATTATTTTGGAATAATAAAAAAAGAATTGAAAGAAAATCCACACAAAGGCGTGTTGGGTAAGTAAAATCCTTGTGTATCTTTCTTGAAGGGGGAAGGTGTACTTGTCTACTAAAATGACTTTTAAGCGATGTAAGGCTTCACATGAACAGGAAAAGTCTAAGGCAGTGCAGGCAGTATGTCACTTTCAATACTTGTAACTTTTGCTAGGATAGTTTCTATGGTACCAGAAGGCAGCAGGCACACGGGAGACGAGATTGTGAGTAGAGATTCAGTCCAGGCCGGATATCAGCAAAGACTTTCAGCGATGAATTTTAACATCCTGCTCCAGAGATTTTCTTTCATTCTTTGAATTCTTTTGCATCTTTCAGGGGTAGTTTTTCTCTCTGATTGTCCGTCTTTGTTGACAAAGTTTCACTTTATTTTATTGGCCTCTATACTACTCTAAGCTGATTGGTTTAATGAAGTAATATTTTAGGTGCAAAGAGGTACAAAGAACAAAGTTTGTGCATACTTAAATCTCCAGTATGAAGTTTTTTCTGCTCTCTCTTCTTTCCAGCTACTTTGTTCTTGAAATTCCCCATTTCTCTGTCCCACCCACATGTTGATATGAGCTGCTCTCTGGTCATCGCCCAGGCTCAAGTGTTCAGGGAGGGGTCCCTCAGAGTATTCCTTGGCTCTGATTTACTCCTAGCAACACATAAACTTTAAGATTCTCTCTGTCTTAATCAATCCGGCTTTAAAGAGGTAATGCATTTATTCAGCAGAAACAGCAGAAGACAATGTTAAGAAAACATCAAGGAAAAATGCTGATTTTACAAGAGGAGAAAAAGGATGTTGGGGATTCTTTGTGCTGAGCCGCTGTGCGTCACATTAACTACTCCACTGCACCCTACAGGACATGTTCTTTTGAAGATAAACAATGCATTACAACTTACATTATGTAGCCCCGTGCTGCTTCATGCATAGTATATCAACCTCCCACTCAAACAGTGGGAAACACATTAACACTTTCTCCAACCGCCCATTGCCTCAGGGCAGGTGCACTGCTCGCGGCAGGGATACATCATCACTGCTGCAGTTGAATAACTTTTGCCCGGAGATAAAACAGAGCTGCTGTTTTTTTTTTTTTTTCTCTCTGCTGCTAAATGTAAAGCAGAATTTGTCACTTTCTGCTCCTCAATCCCAAAGGAGATGGCAGTAGTTTCAGCACCACAAGTAAAACTACGGTTTGTTTTTTTGCTCACCCCACCTGGCTGTCAAAGATCTGTGTTGGATAAACTTAAATCTTGGAGCTCGACTAAAATTCTGATCATCAGATTTCAGGTTGTCACCTTTACGACCCAGTCGTGACGGTTTGTGTCTTTAACTGGAGCGTATCAGCAGTTTGTGAACTTTTCACACTGTTGCTCTCAGACAACAGCAATCTGCTGCCTACTCGTCGTCGTCTAGATTCAGAGTGGCAGCACAGGCATTGTTCCTGTTTGCGGAGAGACACAGGCAGCTAGCTGGGTGTTTTGATTCTCTCAATGACCTTTCCTGTTATTGTCTATGTGAAGGACAAGGGTCCAGTTTGCATTCGTTCTGATATTTTATGGTGCAAAACCCAAGAACATTTACTGTTCAGGAATTTGTTACAGCAGCCTCATACAGGCACCAGATCGAGAATCATGGGTGGTTCAGCTGTAACAGGGGTGCAACTTCGACTGCAAACTGTCAGTGCTCGACAGAAAGTATAATATAAGATAATACAAAAGTTTATCTTTTATATTACAATATAATAGAAGATAAACCTTTCAAAATGTTCATTGAGAATGCTTCCATGGCCAGTTTCTGAAAAACCATAATTAGACCATAATTAGACTGTATATGGACCAGAATCATGGGATAAATCCTTCTGTAAACTAAGATAGGTGGAACCAAATGCTTTGTAGCATGAGTCTCAGGTAGACTGAGAGTTTTCATGGAAGTGTGGTCAGCATGTCTGACTTACTAGCTAGCAACCTACAACAATATCCTTTTCATGTTAGGAAATTAAAAGTGTGTTATCGCACAGATTTGAATAAAGTAGGCGCTAATATTTCCCTCATCTACACATGAACCTTTGTCCTCATCTTTAGTGTTTAGGCTAACATTTATCACATGACTCTGGTCCATATACAGTCTATCAGGGTCTAATTATGGTTTCAGACACTGGCCATTGGAGCATTCTCACTGAACGTTTGAAAGGTTTATCTTTTATATTATATTATAATGTCCTTTAACTGTGGGAATATGCTCTCTATGGGGCAACATCACATTAGTCTCAGTAAAGTCCATAAAAAAACTTCAGACAATCACGTGAATCAGGTTTTATCTAACTTGTCTTGTGATAATACCAGCTCTCATTTCTATTATTTCATGAGTTAAAAGGTCTTTTAATTCCTTTTTATCTTGATTTCCTCAAACAGATTTCACCCCTTTAGACTTGACAGCTGTTCTCAGCAGACAATCACACACCTGTGTTGGCAAAACTTTGGGACCATCATCAGGATGGGCACAAAAAACATTCAATGTTTTAAGGTCACACTCTGTCAGCACATAGATTCACAAAAAAAAAAAAAAAAAAGATGAAAATATTTGCTATGAAGGCATTTTTGTCACATATACACTCTGAAACTGGCCACGACCAGTTCAAGATGAAGCCGGGCCATGTGACAGAAAATGTGATGGATTGTAGCCAAGGACAGAAACCGGCATACAAGTCACAGTGTCACTTTTTTTCCAAGGCAACTGCTCTGAATCATTTGTGTTTAAAGCTCCAACGTTCATCCGTAGTGTTGACACTTATTTATGTGTGTGTGTGTGTGTGTGTGTGTGTCAGGGAGCTGCTGAAAAGTCAAAAGAAGCCTGAGGACATGAGGGGCTGGCAGTTAACGCCAGAAAAGAGGCAGAACCCTCCTAAGAAGAAAATATGAATTTTGTCAGCTGTAAAGCCACAGTCAGGCAAAAAATAGGCAATTTTCAGGTGGGATATTTCTAGAAAACTGCATATTAAAGTAGATTTAACTGTATTTTAAATACTGATGGATAACACTGGACTCTTTTTCTCTTTCTAAGACAGGCTTGAATATTCAAAAAACATCAATAAATAGCCCCAAGATATTTTGTTCATTTAGATTTGGTAAAGGCAGCAGATGAGTAAACAAAACAACTTGTAAGGCTTTAGTAAAACCCCTGCTCAGAGCCTCAGATTTTTCAAGTCTTGACTCATTTGGAGGGAAATATGAAATAGAGGTCAGAGGAAACCAAAGCTACTGAGTCTGGCTTCTTGCCTGATCCCAGAGTGGAATAAAAACATTTTAGAACAAACAGAAAACTGTGAACAGGCTGGTACAGCTGGGAAGAAAACACTTGCCAAATGATGTATTATGGATGAAAAATACAACAGTGCTGCAAGACTGTGATTAAGCTCTGCATGAATAAATCTAACGCAAACTTTACTGAATAGTTATACACACGCTCTGCCTTTCATTTTTACATTAACTTGCAAGTTTCAATGTTTGGCCCTGAATGTATTTCTCTTATACAACCTGAAGTCAACATTGCAATAGCTGTGTCACATTAGCCAAATATTTTAATTTCTATGTAGGAAAAAGCCATGGCTAAAAGGTAACGGTTGTCCAAGTTCATTTATCAGCTTCAAGGACATCAGTTGGAGTGTATTGCTAGAATCAGGAGGAATGCTAAGTCACATGGGAGAAAGGCTCAGGATTCCTGATTCAATCAATTATCTTTCCATTATACGCTCTCAGCATGCACAGATAAATACTTCTCTCCTTAGATCAGACCAGTCACGCCCAAAAGACAAAGATCTATAATTGCAAAACTAATAACAAGTCGAAAGACACAGACGGGTTTAGACAGACCTGTTAAAAACATACGCCATGGCAATATCTAAATACAAATATACAATAATTAGCATTTCCCTTTTTCAGAGGCCAAATCTGCCATTTTAAACAAGTTTATTCCAACTCAGTGGAAAGTCTTAAAAACTGAGGAAGAATCTCATATTAAACATGAACTCACTTTCTTATGATTCAATGTCTGCATGGAATAGCAGCTCAATAGGTACTAATAGTTTCAGGGTTCGAGGTTCATGTTTAGTATTATTGTGCCACTGGTCTGTCTCATTTTTGAGTCTTGTACCCCTGCCAAGCCAGGAGGGAATTCTGATATATCTTTATTTATTTTATTTTGTATTTTATTCATGGTGACAATGCCAACTGCAATCAATCCTTCATTTTCTTGTATTGCGTCCCGTTGAACTGAGGCTCACCCATGCATCTTTTTTTTGTTTTAGGGTAATATAGTTTTTTATGCGTTTGAAATAAACATAAATACCCCCCTTACAAACATGTTTATGCTGCCACTCCAATACTGATGGATATGAACACTGTAGTGCGCCTTTACCAGTGTTATTCAACAATCAGACTTCAGTGAGGCTGAACGTTTGACTGCATCTCAACTCTTGAACTTTATACTTCACCTAATGCTTATGCATTGTTGCACAGCCCTGATTTAGCTCTCCGGCAACAAAACGCAGGACTGGAATAACTGGGCAAAAGAAAACCTCAGTTTCTCTTTACATGTTGTGACTCCAACACTTCTGTTCAGATATTTATGGTATGGTACAGGTTGGTGACAGAGAGAGAGAGAGAGACCCAATGTAAGAAATCAACTCCTATCTCTGCTTCGCCATGACTTGTCTCGCTTGGTCTGTCATGTCTCATGACAGACGATAATTTACCATAACTAAGTCTCTGCATTAAGAATAGTTATTTATATCAGGGTGACAGAGCGGAGCACAGCTGAGAAATGCTTCGACTGTGACAGTGATGTGACTCATTCTGCTCTATAGACACAACATATCAAGAACATTTCCACACTTCATGAACAGAGAGCGATAAAAATCTGCAGCCCCCTGTTTAATTATTTTATAGATTGAACAGAGGGGTGTATATCTGTGGATTTGAGTCTGAGCCTTTCTGAAAGTACATCAGATATTTGAGATGAGGGGAAAATTCGCTTTTAACCTCTTGTTTCTTATCTTATGGAGCGCTAAGACACCTGTTAGCTCGCTGAGGACTCAAACTCAAACGCTAGGATCATAATAATGATGTAGGTCTGATTTCTTCTTCTGTGTTACCTCAATAACAAATACTAGTGCACATTAACAACACAAAAATACACCATATATAATTTAGAAACAGAACAATGCTGTGGTAAGGGATCAATTAGTCATGTCTGATACATGAATGGATAATTATGATATGTATGTAATACTGCATCCTTTTTTTCTATCCTTAGCAAAAAGCTGCACCGAAGATCACTCCTCTGTACAAATGGCACAAAGGATGTTTCATGAAAGTGGACAAGACGGCAGATCAGGTAAGATATGAGAGTGAGTTGACATGCATTTGAATGTTAGATTAAAGGCCAACGCTGAAAATACTGAGATAGTTTACATGTTTTTATTTTTACTTTTAGTCTCAGTGAAGCCCAGACCATGTCTTTGTCGGTTTTTAAAGGACCTGCAGTATTTCAATAGAAGCCTAATTGTTCACATGAAGAAATGATCTATAAACGCTGGAAATAAACAAGAGCTAGCGCACCAGTTATTTGCCTCAGTCCCTTTATTCTCGTCTTATGAACAGTGGTCCCTTTCTCTAATGGGACTGAAATGAACGGCTGGAGAACAATGTTATATTTAGCCACTTGGTTATTTCTGTTCATACATTTTTCATTTAGCAAAGGGAGTGGAATGAAAAGCTGCTGCTTTTTGCTTAATGTGTCTCTCTATGATGTACACTGCCCCACCTCATGTGTAACATAAAGCTTAAAGGTTTTACCTGATTTGGTTTAGAGAGCTGCATTTCCTCTAATATTTCATCATCTCGGTCCTAAAATATTAAGTGTATTGAATTTAGTAGAATAGTAAATCACAAATATGTATTTAAATATGCACATTTAGGTTCATTTTTAATCCAGTAATAAAATATGTGATGTTTTGTCTTTTAAGGGAATTATGTATCTGCCTTTAGTGAATTCATTCAATTATAAATAAAAGATCTTATCATGAAACTTCGATTATATTTGATCACAATTCTGAATAAAATCTTTGAGGTGAGTCCAAAACTGACGAAGACTGAATGTCAGCGTATAAAACAGCGGTTTTTAGTCAAAAGCCATGTTTACATGGGCAAAGTCGCTTGATCCAGTTAAAAATTTGAGGGATCAGATAATCTGAATCCGGTGTTTATATGAACACAAAGTCAAATAATCCAATCATGACGTGTGTGTATATATATGCACCACGTTTCATTCAGATTAGAAGCATTTTGACATGCACAGAGTTGTCTGATTTCGCTAAAACAACCACAGAAGAAGAGTTGTATTTACGACTGTGCTGTCAACAAACTAACAAACGCGGTAGTGGCTCGCTCCATCCAATTCAGGAGTTTTCCCCCTGTTAAATGCTGTCACTAGATGGCGCCCTTGCATACTTATTTTACTGTTCTGACTTATTATTGTTATGTTACCAGAGGAGCAGACACGGCAGCTGCGGTTGTGTTTTATGCCAGAGTGTTAATAATAATAAAATCTCCTGTACTGGCCTCAATAAATAAGCCAAAGGCTAAAGAGTGAAGATCGAGTCAGGTAAGAGAGTCAGGATAAGTATTTTCATGGACGCATTTCGGAATAACGATCGGCATAAACCACCCCTCTCGATCGGGTTACAAATTCTTTCCAATTGAGCCGAATTGGATCAGAACCTTCAGATTGACATGTTTACATGACACATTTTTATTCTGATTATCATGTAAACGCAGCTAAAGATACCACCTTTCTCCGATTAAAAGGGTTTGATGGTTATGGTACAGAGACATACTGCAATCATAATGCTGCCGACTTGTGGTCAGACAAAGAACAACTACATAAATGATAGTGTTGCATGTATGTCAGTCATGAAAGGTTAATATGTTTCCTGTCCTCTCGTGTTGCAGTACTGGGGACTCTAGCTGTGCAGGTGGAAAGAGACCCTAAAACAGGTGCTGCTGTTGTCAGGTCAGTGACCCCTGTGTCCGCAGCAGCTGGTGCACCTGCGGCCACCGCTGTATTCGATGATGGCAGGAAGAGTATCCACACTGTGGGCAGAGTGGAAAGTCCACCCTCTAATGAAGAGCTCGGGCAGATCCTGAGTGTTATCGATGGAGTTGGGATGAAAGTGCTGCTGGACGAAGTTGAAGTCACGCCAAGCAGAGCAGGGACAAAGATGGAGAGTGAAGGTGCCAGCAGAGAACCAGAGGGAAAAGTCCTGTCTTTTTCTGCCTGTCATGCCCTATCAGAGGTGGACAATATGCAGTTTGACAGCTCCAGAAGCAACAACGTGAGAGCTGAACTGGGACTGGAGAACTGTGCTGTGAGCATAGAAAACAAGGAGGACAGAAGCATCACACCGGTTCATAACCAAAGCGCAGTAGAAGTAGATAATAACGTTGATGAAAAGCTGGTGGAAGGCCCAGTCACTCTGTTGTTTTTGGGATATGCTGATGACTCAAATGACCAGGATCCAGATCCAGAAAACCATGAAGGCATGATCACTGTAGAACGAGTGATGATCACCGAGGAAGGAGAAGAGCACGTCCTGGGGCCTGAAACATTCCTCCAAGAAGAAAAAGAAGCCAAAGGAGTGTTTCAAGATGTTCCTCTAGAGGGAAACGGGGCAGGCAGTCAAGTCCAGAAAGAGGAGGAGCAAAAGGTTCCTCAGGATTCATCTTCACCCGCTAAAGCACAAGAACAGGCCACGTCCTCGCAGAAGAAGAGCTGTCAGTGCTGTTCTGTCATGTAAGACAGAAATGGAGAAAGACCGAATAATCAGCCGAATCTCAACATCTGTGATTTAATAATGAAACTGATTCCTATTGACTAATCTGACTGAATATACCCCCATCTGATCTGGTCTTACAGTGGCTCTGATCTCCACGTCTTTGAACCCTGCCTTATAGAAAGATATTTATGATTTTCAAGGTCTTATTCAGCAGATGTGGGCAGGCAGCAACTCGAGGGGACTATTAAAATCCACTTCCTCCCTCTGGTGGACAAAGCTGAGAGTTTCACCCTGCGCTGCTGCAGTGTTGCAGAAAACATAAAAAACTCATCATGTGCCTTATCAGCAATGGATAATCAATACGTTTGAAGTTATTTGATTTAGGAATGATAACAAATGTACAGCTTTATTCCAATGAAAATAATTATTACTCATTCATGGCGTGTGCTTCAGTGTTTGTTTGTTTTTCCTATTTTTGAAAAATGTAGAGAAATGTTTGCATTTGTTGTTTTATACTTTTAAACTTTTGCTTTCTAATCCAAATTCTGCTCAGGTCTAAAGTTACTAAGAAGAGTATCAGCATACTGTTTCCAATTTGAAGTAGTTTTATTTTCATAGTTCAGCAAAGGATGTAGCTGTTGAGTTTCAGATTCATTTTACTGTGAAAATTTGCAAAAGAATTAAAAATATTAAGTATGTGAAAGTGAGTGTAAGAAAAGAAAAAATATATATCTCTAGTAATGCCACAGTCAGCAGCTGATCAGCTCTGCAAAAAGGACATGACAAGTGCTTAAACAGCAAGTTGTGTTTCGAATGAATTAGATAAACAGGATTAATTATCGGTATCAGCCGGGTTGGCTGTCTCTTTCTTTCTCCCTCTCTCTGCCTCTCTCGCCTTCACTCGTGAACATCACCTTTCCAAAATTTGAGGCTTAATTTGGGATTTTTTGTTTTCCTTGAACAGATTTTTACTCCTAATGAAGCTCTTGGACTGCATGTAAGCAATAGTTTGTATGAATTTGACAAAATGTGCTAATGTACTGTAATGACAATGAGAATTGTGTTGTAATACTAAACCATTTTCTTAAGCGTTTTATTATTTGTATGAGTGCGATTTGCTATAAAACAGAGTCATTAAAGGTAATGTTAACTCAACAATGCCATGGCTATATAAAATTACGTAGTGTGTAACTCATTTCTCACTTTAGATTTGAAGTGTAATCACAGTTTCATATAAGCGCACGACACAAAAGAGTGCTACACATGACAGCCACAGCGGGGAAATTAACCTGTGCACGGCATTCCAAACAACAGGACAATGTTGCACACGTGGTACAGTGGACCGGAGGTTACAGGTGATAAGTAGATCAGCTGTATCCTCAGCTGGATGATTCATTTTTCCATTGTGGTCGGCTCCCCTGTGTCACACACTGAAGAGGACTGTAGCCCTGCAGTCAGGTAAGCCTCTTCTGTAACATCTTCAAAATCCTCCTCCTTTGTACTTTTCTGCTATTCTGTCACTATTTTTTATCCTCGAGCGGAAAGTATGAGTGCTAGATAGTGTAAGAGGGAGGGAAAAAAATTATGATACAATATTCCGTGATAAACTTTGTTTTTCTTGAATATCAAATAGAAATCTACTCTCTAAATACGCCAAATAAAACAGCAGCTCTTATCCTACATTTGTTTGAATGTTATCAACAGGCCACTGAGGCTGTATGTGCATCGTTTTATAAGAAATAAAAGGACAGTATTCTTATACTTTTGAATATTATCCCAAAATATTTGAAAGATCTGTCATTATAATAACAGTAGGGAGAGTGAGGGTGGAATAGACAGGTAAAGCTCCTTACGGCAGATTAATATGTCCTGTTACTCAAGCCTTACATGCATTTTGTTAATCCTGAAATGTAGTTGGTATTAATCCTCTGAAATGTAGATGTAAATATGGACTCATAGCTTTAAAGCTGAATGACAGAAAGTGAGATGATGTGGAAAATATCCATGCTGAGGAGGAGACAGTGTTTAAAATGACCGCACAGACCTCTGTATTCTCTAACATACAGTTTTGAGCTAAAAGCCGATCACTGAGCATTTATGCAGTCGTTGATAACATCTGTTAGCCTGATGAGTACATTTCTGATTTACAGAACAGGATATTGGTAAAACATCCCTCTCAACAGGCAAACTGAAGAGATGATGAGAGCCTTTGGGGCGGACAAATACTGCACATGGTGTGCATGCCAAAATAGAAAGGGCAAAGCCGATTAGGCTTCCCTTTTGTCAGCAGAATTGGCTTTGCTAGGTCACAGCAGGGGGAAGAGAGCCACCAAAACAACACAGGAACTGTACACCAGGTTGAAAAAGACAAAGCAATGTGGCATTAAATTATTATGTAGTTTTTTTTCTTCTTACACATACCCTAAATGATACTGTCGCCAGCACTTTTTTTTAATGACATGCATTCATTGCTATCTTTTCTTGGTTTATTTTCTGACATTAAAGACAAGAGAGAGCTGCAGCTTTCATATCCTTGTGCTGAGCAAAGATCAGGTACTAACGGAGCAAAGCAAATAAATTAATAATTGTATAACTGAGAGGTTTAGAAATATAGACATAATCAACAAATCAATGTCTTTGTTTCATTCTTAACATCCACGTTTTCTTTCTTGTCACAGTGTTAAATGTTGCAATACTGTGTTTCTTGGTGAGTTACAGCCACCTGTAGGCCTATAACAAACTAGGAAACCATTAAAATTAGGTATGCATGTGCAAACAGACAAAATAATCATACACCTCACTCAGATAAGAATTGCTCTTTAGCACTGCCACTGGTCAAAAACTTCACAGAGTCCCTTTTGGTCAGGTTGCGGTCAACTGCTTGATCGTGTGTCTGTAGAAGAGGGTCCAAGTCAGGAGTGAGTTTAAAGACCTCCATTTGTTTGATCTTAGAAAGGCCGTGTTTCAATTTGACAAAGCAAATTTTCCTCAATAATTTAATTTAGTTCATAATTTAAGCTTTTAAACAAAATAGTGATGAAACACAGTAATATTAAAAATGTGTATTACCACCCCCCTGACCTTTTTTTCTGTTCCCTTAAAGGGGAGAAGAGTAGACAACTTTAAGAGCTTTCAACCATGGACAAAAATGATCCAAGCCCTAAACCTCAAGGACCAGTGTCCCAGGATGATGGTGACCTGCGGATGAAGGTGGACTCAACCCCTGGGACAGACCACAAAGAGAAAGAGTCGGTGAAGTGTGATGAGAGACCACAAACCCCTCCAGCCACCCCTGTGATCACAAGGTACTACGGTGGGACAGATGATGATGAGGTCTTCATCCAGCTACCACGTCCTTCTCCGCCATCCTCCATGCCTCCTTTGCTTTCAGTAGAGGGCAGCAGGGATGGAAAAATAAATCATTCCAATTTGACCTTTGCTAATGGGCCAGCTGACGCCACAGAAGCTAAGGCTAATCCCGGTGGCTTAGACTGGCATCACGGTGAGAAGCAGTTAATGGCAGCACCAAACAAGCTGGATGAGTTGATGATGAGCACAGCGGAGACTTCTGAGGAGTCCATGAACACAGCAGCTCTGCCCAAAGAGAAGGGCTCAAAAGACCGAGATTCGACATCCATGGAGAACACAGGTAGTCTGATGGGACCATGTTATGATCCATCAAGGGGAAGCCATCAGGACGATACCACAAGAAAGAACGAGTTAACCGAGGAACCCGAGGATATTGATATTGAAATTTTAAGTGAAAGACAGGCAACCTGGAATGAAGTCGAAGCAGATGGTGATGACAAATATCCAAAACAGGTACCTGTTAGCACTGAGGAGAGGTCAAAGACTGAGGAACATTTTCACAGAGATAAAGACAAAGTGAAATCAGATGGATTTTCTGCATCTACGGGGACAAAGTCGAAACTATCAACAGACAAAGTTGATTGCAGTGGGACGAAGACAAACGCCCCCACAAGATCTAGTCTCACAGACAGAGATGATCTAAAACCCTCTGTGTCACCAGAACTCTGCAAATACAACCAAAACAGTTCGGATGAAGCAACAACTCAACCACAGCTATCAGAGATCACAAGAAAAGCACCCAATGATGAGCAGCATGTTGACACCAGATCTTTGAACTATAAGCTCGCAAAGTATGACTGGGTGAGGAGAGAGAGTGGGATCAGTGAAACGCTATCGCCCCGCCCCTCTGTCGGCGAAGAGACAATTTCAAGGACAGAGCAGGGACAGGGAAGCAGGGGACTAAATTCTAATGTCCAACAAGGAGAGCAACTACTTCAACGACTGCAAGTGGTCCAGCAACGACAGGATGTTCACGCACCAGAGAAACCTCCTACTTTCCAGCTTACCGGACCAGACATGGAAAGTGAGAAAGAGGCTGTGTTTGGAGTGGAAGCAGATGAAATGCAAGACGGGCAAGATCATCTGATGGGTTTAAAAAGAAGTAGACTACACACTGTTGAAGATGATGGCGCCAACGCGAACCTGGTGGAAGAGAAAGGTAGTGAGTGTGATCACGCGGAAACAAAGGCATGGTTGTCTTTGCCAACGATGTCTGTAAAGCCTGATCATTACCCAATTGTAAGAACAGAGGCGGGCTACTCTGATGATGATGAGAAAAGTGAGGTCTGGGTACCGACAGAGTGGTCTTCGAATGATGAAGTGTCTTCAACCCACCCTATGTCCAACCGCCCACGACTCTCAGTTGCAGAGACCTCCCTCGAGAAGCAGATCCACGAAGTAGCTCAGAAGAAACAGAACCTTCAGAGAGCTGGAGGTGTCTTCAATCTCGCAGATAACTTAGATGTGATAGAGATCCCTTTTAAGACCAATTTCTCACTTGAGCCATCCCCAGCAAAGGTTGGTCCAGGTACGCGGAGCTCTTGGCAATTCTCCGAGCAGAAGATGCAGAAGGAGATAAGTCAAGAAATACAGAGAGAGCTGGTGCTGGTCAACCAAGGGAAGATCCCGGGGGCTTACAGCAAAGGAGAAGTCCGCCAGTTAAAGGAGACAAAATTGCTTTTTGAGGCTTTCCAACAGGAAAACATGGAAGGTCCAACAAGGCATCGCAAATCCCCTACCTCACTGTCCAAAGGTCATGTTTACCCATCAGTGCTAGAGCGCACTCGTAGCCTTGAGATGTTTTCCCTCAAGAGTCTTCCTGTGTCCAGAACACATTCCCTCAGGGTGCACGACCCTGCGACTGCTCAGATGACAAAAGGTCCAGAAGACTTCAGAGCAAAGAGCCCGAATGGAGGTCCAAGAGACAAAACTCGTGTCTCACCCTACCAAAAACAAGATAAACATGCACGCCAGTACAGAAGCATGGACTTAATGAGTGCTGGTGTCTCTGATGGGGAGACCAGGAGAAACGTTGGGGAGGGGAACGCATCGGGGGAATCTCCTATTCTCAAACATAACCCCTTCTTCAAGTTGCGTCCGGCCTTGGTTCTGCAGCCAGAGGTCGAGAAAGATATTCGTGAGGCCAAAGAAAGAGAAGAAGAGCTTCGCAGACAGAGATGCACTCTATACGGAGAGAGCAGATGGAAAAGTAAAGACAAGGAAAAGTCTCGATTCACACCCACCCTCACCACAGGTTAGTGTACATTGTTGTTGTTTTTTAATTATATTCAGACTTTTCCTTATTTTTATATACTTCCTTATTTCCCACAACTAACTGTTGTCATATCACCAACATCATTAATGTTTGAAGTGGTTTTTACACTGATGTTTATGAATGTTTTTTGAACATCTTTGTTCGTCAGGATGCATTTTGTTGATGATCCCTGCTCTCTTGAGTCAAAAATTTTATTTAAGAAACCTATCAAGAAAGTGTTGGCCTGGGGCACCTCACATATGGGGGCTATAGTCCTCATCGCAACAGTCACTGGTTCGAATTGTAGCCTCGACCCTGTGCTACAATCTTTCCCCTGTTCCCTTCTACAAGCGTTTCCTTCTCTCTTCAGCTGTCCTCTCCTATAAAGGCAAAATTCCCCGAAATAACAACTTCAAAAATAAGAAAATTTTAGCCAGAAATCTCTTCAAATAAAATGTTTATTCAGCCTCTCATGTAGATGTAGCTTAGATTAGCTGAAAACAGATATTCTGACTAAAAATTGGACAAACTGACTCAGTAAGATTAGATTTTTTTCAGTGTAGACGTCATTAATTTGGTTGACTGTCATGCAGTTGATGAAAGGCTTAAGGTGATTTCTTTTACTTAGTTATTAATGTTTTCTAAAATGTAGTAAAGCTCAATACTTCCCTCAGGTAAAAGTACTGATTTTGAAAACTAGTCAAATAAGTGCAAACACACAAAAGCTCCTCAGCTACAGTAACTTGTATAAATATGATTTATTCCAGCCCGACTCTGGTAAGTCCATTTGAATTTTGTAGTTACCATGCTGTGCTGTAGACGCAGAGAAGTACAGAAAACAGTTAAGCACCTGTCATCAGACCAGCAACACCAAAGAGGATATTTTCTACATTTATTAACTAATCAAACTAAAAATAATTAGGGTTATTGTGATGAATGTTACTGAAAAAGCTAAAAAAAAATTACTTGAATACAGCAGTGAGATTTGCCAATCCTAGCACAGACTGATTAATGAGAATCACTTGTACCTTTTTTTATTCTTTTCACATCCCTCCCTCCTAACACATCGTCTGAGGACTTTAATGACTGTCTTTATACATTAGCATCACATAGTGTTATCTAAGAAGTGTCATTGACTCAGTGTCAACCCTGTCAAAGAGGGTTAAGGGCATATCAATCCAGTTGCAGCCTGACCCGATCCAGCGTCTGCCAATGGGTTGACTGACAACGTGAAGGCTCGTACGTGCACTTCTAACGAGCTGGCGGCAGTCCTGGTTGTATTATAGTACGGTGTTTATATAAATAACTCCAGACAGTGAATCAGTCTGCTTTCATTTGTGTGTGTATTTGTATGTTAGTGTAAAGTTTGTCCCCTTTTTTACCATCTGTTTGTGTTTCCCATAAGTTAGAGACATAAAATAACTGTACAAATTTGTCATCATTATGTTAGATGTTTGATTTTTCAATCACAGCAGCTGAACAAAGAAGCAAAAGTTGACAGATGAAGCAGCATGTGACAGCTATACAATCCTTCTGTGTCGGGTTAGACTTTGAATTGTGTTGTTAAAACTCAGGAGTAGAGGAGGAAACCCCTTTTATCATACCATGTGGGCTCTGGGTGTTATCTTGTTCATTCTTCCATTACTAGCTGTACTACGCTTTGCTTTCTGTTGTTCTCTACAAAACTATAGGCTATAGCCTTTCTTTTGATATATTTGATACAATATATGTGCAGTTTAGTGCTCTAGTAACCTGGATTTGGCAAATCTAATCCAACATTGCCTTAGCAGATGCCCCACAAGACCCAAATTGACTTTTTGTCTGTGTCAGTTTTGGCGCCCCCTGTGGACAAATGCAGTCTTTGCTTATCTTCTCTGATTTATGACAACAAATCTCATCCTGCTATTTTTTGACAGCCAAATGTGAATACTCCAGGTGAAAACAGGGCTGTGTTTAAAGCTGCAAGGCTTGGACCTACCCGTCACACAGGTTTCAGACGATTAAAAAAAAAAGATATTACGATCTTTGGTTTTGTTAAATTTACCATGAATTTCAGTCAATTTCATGAACATCAAATAACTCCTCATAGGAGCTTTAAAGTTGAAATAGAGCGAAATACTTGCAACGAACGAACAAAGGAAAACAGCTTTCATATGGCCAGTCATTAAAGTGTCTTTTCTTTGACTGTTTTTGTCATCATTTTACCTGTAAGACACCTAGTAGTCTCATGTTTTGTGTATGGTGCCATGCTATTCTTTGATGTTTCAGAAACTGTATTGATCAAGTTTGTCAAGTTAATCTAATTCATACAAAGAGCTTGACTCATCGATCATCATTAAGGGAATTAAGGGAGATACTCAATATAACGGATCCATTTTTCAATACAAGCCATGGGTAACAATGTGATATTAAAACAGCAGAAGTTTAGCAGTCAAAGAGATTTTGCCTGGCTCTGTTTCATAAAATGGTTAATCGGTCAGTGTAAGACCTCCTTCACCTCTGATTCTTTCTTTCTCCTGCTCTTTAGATGCCACAGGACAGTCCCGGGGCAAACTGGACAGATTTTGGCCTCCGCCTTCCAAGAAAGACCAGAAATCTGAGTCGACACAGGTAATGACTGAGGTCTAATAAATGCATGGCATCTTTTTAGTTCCAAGATCTTTCAGTTCATCAGAAAAGGGGTAGGTAACAAAAAAACGTGGAACTGAGCTTGAAATATGTTCCTGTGAAGTTTCCATCGTGGAAAAAGGGAAGTGAAGTTGATTTATAAATACTCTTATTCAGAGAGTCAAAAAGGGAACTAATCCCTGAATGCTCTTTTCTCTTATCTCACAGCAGGAGGCAAAAGTTCGGAGAACAGCGGGTCAGAAGGCGTCTCTATGGCAACGCTGGGAGTCCGGCCAGATAAATGGACAGCCATCACAGGAAAAGAACTAGACTGCAAACACTGAAAAAATGATATCCATAATTAAATACACTTAAGTTATTGAAGTCCAAGAGTAAATATAGAGTCAAGTTTGGATTTTGGTGATTACTTTGCATGTCTGTCACTCACATTGTTCTGATACTTTTGCAAACTAGTTTTATTCAACGCACAATGAAAGTAAATGTATGAACTTGGTCATGCTCTTTGAATCTCACCTAATTAGATTAAACAATTCAATTTAGGTACAGTTAAATCCAAGAGTTTTACATTTTTTTAATTTAAAAAAATTGCCATGAAATGTTGTAAATGTAATTTCATCATGTATTTCATCATGTAGTATAGCAAAAGACCTGAATGAAAGAAATAAGAAGTACAATAAGAATAATTCAAAGTCAGTGAAATACGTACTTATCATACATTTGCTTATAAAGTTGATTTATACAAACTAGCTTGTATGGTGTTTGTATGAAATTGTTAAAAAAGTGTATTTTTGAGATATGTACTTTCATATATTAAAGGGGCAGTTCATAGATTTTTCAAGTAGAGTTCAGTTCATATATGGTTGAGGGATACTCAGAAGGGGATTTTCTAAAAACCTGAAAACTTAACTTTAATGTTATAGTGGCTGGGGTTCGGGGATGGCAATTTTTAAAATTTGAATGTGCAAACTGGAATTATGAATTTTGAGAACTGTGGGTGTTTAATGAGGAGTTAGCAGTGTCTTGTTGCATTATGGGACCTGTAGGATCTATGCATCAAACAGAGAAATAAATACTGACAGATAAATCCAGGTGCTACTGTTTTAATTCTCCCTATTGTTCATCAAATCTGTCTGTAATGCGAATGAGGGTAGCTAAGTAGTAACTTTTAGAAGATGATTCATCACTACTGAGGCCACTTGGGGAGCCAGTCTGCGGTCTAGTGTTCCCCTAAAGCTCAGGTCCTTTACCAGAGGCGTAGGAGCCACACTTCTGGACAGAGATCTCTGATGTTGTTCCTGGAATCTGCTAGAGCTGCTCTCCCGGTTTGGGGGTCACAGCCCAGAGTGCTCCAATCACCACTGGTACCACCATCGCCTTCACTCGCCACATTTTCTCCAGCTGTTCTTTTAGCCCCTGATATCCCTTGAGCTTTGTGTCCCCTTATCCTGATGTCGCTGTCACTATATCTATCACCACTGCCCTCTTCTACTATTTATCCACCATCAGTTTGTCAGTCTGGATCTGGAAGTCCATCAGGTTCCTGGCTTGCTCATTGTCTTTTAAATTTGGGGGTGTCTTCCATCTAGACCCTCGGACCCCCATATAAATCTGCACAAACATTTCTGTATGCCATACCTGCCACTTGGTTATGGTATTCCATGTACACCTTACCTGCCAGGATCTTGTCTCATTGGCCGCTTTGCACAGCCTACACTGGGGTCCTGTCTGGTGTGATAGACCCCAGCCTCTTTTCACTGATACCAAAATCTAAGTCGATCAGATTTCTGAACCTCTATTCTTTCTTTAAACTAATCCAATTTTAAACACTTCATCTAATCTGACAGCAGAAATTGGGTCAGATCACAATAGGACATCCAGGCTCAGTTGACTGATGACTAAATTCTGTAGTAGTCCTTGATAAATAAAGCCATCAGGAAACCCTAAGGGCAACTCAGATGACCCCTGATCTTATTTACTAGAGAGTGTTCACTTTCTAATCCTGTGGTCTAAAGCATGCTGCCCAGCCTGTCTAAGTACCATCTGTCTGTTCTACTCATTCTGCCAAGGGGTGGAAGGACTTTCACTGTGCTCTTCCTGCCTTCGATAGCCAAGCGCTAACTAGCTACACCCTCTTCTCACCAACCCACATTCTGCGCCACAGCCAACCTAATATCATCTGTTAGGACAACTCAAGATGCTTCAGGAAACACCCTTAGTTTAGACCCGGAGAGGGTTGCACCAGCTATGCCAAAGTCTGATTTAGGGTAGACTTTGCACTCTACCAGCACTTTCAAGGTTGTGTTTGCTGACATAGCTCCAACATAAGCTAAGCAAACACCTTATCATGATGTTCTTTCCAATAACATAACCATCAATAGAGTTAATAACAGTTAAATTCAGCTATTAGTCTGTATTGAGGTAATATTGCATGAGGGTAAGCACTTCCACAAACTGCCCACTCAGTTAAGACATTTTCACTGATTGGTGACAGAGTGGAAATGTTATTTCTGCAAAAGTATTTTGGTTATTTTGGAGATTTCATTCTACGTATTAAAATGATTCTTATGTCTTCATGAATATGGTTTAACGTGGATGTTGCACCATAACACAACTTTGAGTTGGAGTCTTCATTAGTCTCAAGAAAATTATTGTTTTTAATATCGATATTTCACATGACTGGAACAGAAGTGGGAGAACAGATGGTGTCAAATGAGACTTAACCATCAAAGCTGCTCATTTTGTTGATTCACTTTGGAAAATGATGCCTGTTCCCTCATCCATCTTCCCACAGACACACCAAATTTACAGACTGAACTTTGCCAGACTTTAATAGCCACCAGGTGCTTTGCTAAATCAGTCTTAAGGCTTGTGCCAAGTTTGATCTCACAACTGCGCACCCGTCAGACTGAAAGAATTCATAAGTATTACAAAATATTTTTCGTTTTTACATCTCAAGGTAGAAGAGTGCTGTGCACCTTAGTATCCTGTTTTGTTTCAATTGTGTTTATGTATATTTGGGAAAAATTCGACTACGAAATTAGGCCCGCTAAAAAAAGACCAGTGTATTTTAAGTCCAGCGTCATGTTCCAGACTGATTGTGTTGTTAGCAGAAGATGGCCATTACAGTTGATGGCTTTATCCAATGACTCGAATATTTTAACAGCTTCTTGTTTGACTCCAGAGTGCATTAAATGAAGTTCTTACACACCATAGATAATCTTTGTAAAGTTACTGTTAAATCAGTCCTGGTTGACTTTGTGCAAAGATGAATTAAAAAATTAACTTTTAATTCCTCAAATTGCTTTTAATACCAAAAACCTTAATGCTTTGTTTAAGTAAACTTTTCATATGTGCATGCTAAATATATAAATTGAAACAATTCATTCATCTTGTATGGATATATTCTATTATTTACCAAAAGGGGGCAGCATAACCTGAATAATCATGAGGAGAAGGAACATCATAAGGACAATATGTCTTTGAATTCTGGGACAGGGTAAGTATTACATGGATTTAGACACTGAAGTTATAGATTAATATGGTTTCCATTTAAATTAAAAGTAAATTTACATTATTTTAATTTGATAAATTATAATGTATATAATTTTACCATGACTATTAGTAAGATCTATTGACAAAAAACCTGTAACACAACATATCTTTCTCTATACACACAGACAGCATTGATAGGTGTGCTGATAAACATGCTTAGGATTGCTCACACATTCCCACAAAGTGGACTCATAGGAAGAGAAAACATATGCGGAGAAAGTACAGTCGTTGTGTAATCATTGTAATTTATCCAATGATGAGTCACTAACTTCACGGAACAGGAGCCACCAGTTACATGGTTTATCAATCCTCTGTTCGCTTAGAAGGAGGTAAAAAAGAAATGTTGCTTAAGAGTACATCTGCGTCATTTTCTGCAGGAGCACGTGGGTGGTCATTTCTTTAGCTGTTTTGCTTACTCTGAGTCATTCATGACGGCCGTCTCGAATAAAGAGCGGTAAGGCTGTGTTGTTCTAAAAAAAGGGACAAACTCTGCTGAAGTGCAAAAATAAAAATGACAGTCAGATGAATGTCTCTTTTTAAATCAGCAGGATGAGGATCTAGCGTAGGTTGAGGCAGAGCAAGGGGGGGATAAAATAATAAGATTTGTGAAAGAACTACTGTATGTCTGAGGAAAAAGTGTCAAAAAAGGGCAAACTCTGAGCAAACAATCCAGAAACATGGGGCTAAATAAAGACGGTACACTCTGCTCAGTGCTATTATTGTATCCCGCCCTGCCCTGAGTGCAAATACCAAGAGCTTTGTGGGAGACTGCTGATGAGAGTACAACAGTGACAGCTCTGACATCAGCTCTCCTTTAGCGCAGTGAGATGGAGCTCTGCACCAACAGCAGTGAACCTAACGCAATGGAGATGATGGGTGACTCACTCTTTCCACCCACACCACATCCCATCTTCAGGATCCATCATCAAGGAACTCTCGCTGGCTCCAAGATTAAACCCTGCCCGCATACTTCACACGTTGCATGAGTCTCGCTTGGAGGGGAGCTAAACATGGAGCTTGAAGCTACAGACAAAAACATGGCAGTGTTTCGCACCTGGAGAAAAATCTGACCCTTTTTTGGCCGCCTGGGTTTGCTAGCTGAACATCATGAGTCTGGCTGACTGTGCAGAGTTAAAAACAAACTTCACAGCTATTAAGAGGAATAGAGAGCTGTAGTTGTTACACGTAATTGATTAATTGTGGGAATTAGTCAAGTTGTAAATTGAAAGATGTTTTTGATAGAAAGCTAAAAGCAGTCACAGACAAAAGTTCAAAAGTAAAATGATATACTGGCAAAAAATAAAAGATGACTTCACAGGATGTCTGTGTGACGTCTTATTACAACACATATTTACACAGCGAATTAGGCAGGGACAGAGTGATGACAAGCCAACTACATAAGAGGTTGTATAACAGTGATCAAAATTGTATTTCCAAAAAGGTTCAAGGAAATTTTGAGGTCCCTCATTTTTGTAATTAGACGTTAGCTTGTAAACAAGTTGCATAACTTGCAGACGGAGGCTTTGAATGTGTCATTGTGGGTATCAGTAATTCACCGTAGATAAGGTTGGTATTTAAAAACACATCAATTTATAGGAAGGTGGTTTCATGAGGACTAATGCGTGTCCAGTTCAGAGAATCTCTGAGCTCATTCAGACCCTGGTTTATGACTTCTGTTAGGGAAAATCAACGATATTCGGGTAAAACATTAAACATAATTTGTCTTCTTAGATAACATATTACTTTTCTGAGACACA